ACCCATTCCTGCCCCCTTGGCCTCATGGTCGTGAACAAAAGAAATCCAAACAAACAAAAGAAACCCACGCCTGCCCCCTGTGCCCCGTGGTCGTGAATGAAAGAAATCCAAACAAACAAAAGGAACCCACGCCTGCCCCCTGTGCCCCGTAGTCGTGTACATTATGAAATAACAATCTGACCAGTATTGCTCCCCTGGTCCACTGGGCGCCTCCTCCGTGTCTTCCGCCATTGTAGTCTATCGGCCCTTTCTCGCCGGGTCGTGCTTTCTGGCATGTGCCGATTCATGCTGTACGTCCCTTAGTACCATTTCTCCACATACCGTACAAGGTCATCGTGGTCTGGGTTTCACCGGTTTCTGTGTTGGTTGGCTTGTGGGTAGGTTAACGTTGGCTCCGATCACCTGGGCGGTGTCTGGTTGCTGGGTACCGTCCTCGTTCCTGGTCATTTCTGGTTTTCCCTTAAGCTCTTGTGGCCAGTCGTCCATCCATTGAAGGAGTTCTCCTTGCCTTTTGTTGTCGTAGAGCCCAATTGTCGTGGTGGTTGTTACCCCGCATCTGTTTGCTAGGTGGTCAAAGATTATTATGTCCCGGTCGCATGGGCATTGCCTCCTGGTGCCGGTTATCTCCTGGTATAGCCAACCCGCCGTTGCCCTTAACCCTAGCAGCCTTTTGAAATTTTGCCTGGTTAGGGAGTGTAGGTGCTTGTACGATTTATCGGGTCTTCCTTGGTACCTGGTCCCTTCGTTGGTAACTCTTTCTGCCCAGCCTTGTTGCAATTGGTTTTTAAGTGCGTCTTTGCCTAGCTGGTAATTACCGGTGGTGGCGATAATGTCTTCTGCCCCGTGTTTGGTCATCCACCTCTTTGTCCAAGTGTTGTGGCGGTCCTTGGTGTTGGCTCGTAGCGCCAGCAAGTTTTGTCTGAACTGCATCATGAGGTCCAGTGGTGGGATCCCGAGTTCGGTAAGGAAGGCCAAGACCGGTGTTTTCTTTTCCAGTCCGAAGGCGGTTTGGACTATCTTGTTGAGGGCCGCCTGCGCTTCTCTTATCAGGCCTTTGTTTCCCCATGTCTCTATCCTGTATGTCAACTGTGGGATTATCAGGCCCTTGATTAGTCGCAGTGTCGTCCCCGCATTCAGTCCTCCTTTGCTGTATCTGGACGTTACTGCCCTTATGCGGTGTCCGGAGCTGGTGGCTTTATTGATCCAGTGCCTGACATGGTGGTCCCATTTCCATTTGTCTGTTAGGAAGTATCCGAGCCATCATAGGTGGCCTTGACCAGTTATCTCCTGGCCCCGTAGGCGGACTTCGAATTTGTTCTGTGGTGGTGTCTGTACGAAGATTGTTTCGGCTTTACTGGGTGCGAACTCGTACCCGTCTCTGGCTGCGGTTACCTCAAGTCCTCTAATGGTTTCCTGGTGCATCCTTTTTCCCTCTCTCACGTCTCGGTGTGTGTGTGTGTGTGTTTTCCTCGATGGGGGCTTTGGATCTGGGATTAAAACATCTCTGTCTCTCTCTGATGCCGAGGTTGGGTTGTATACGAGTACTTGGAAGGGGGTGGCGGTGGGTCGGGATACGATAAATCGCGTCTCTGGGCATCATACCACAGGTCGAAACATGTCAAAACAAAAATAACTATCTTGGATTTGATAAGTAATTCATGCACTCTCAGGATCCCATCCTTCCGAGAAAGGCAACTACAAGTGACCAGCCAACCAACCAACAAGCAAATAAACACGCTCGAGTCAAGGAATCGCTTGAGAGTATATATATAACACATGCCATCTATCTATTTATTCTTTCCTTCCTTCCTTCTTTCAAACTCACCCTGCCCAGCAAGCATTTCGCAAAATTAATCGCAACATCTGCCCTTCGTGTCACTTCTGTGTGTATATGGAAATACCTATCAGGGGTGTCCCCCAACTTCATCTAAAGATAAACTCTGGGCATCGTTCGTCCCCTCGACTCCGGTTGGGTTCGCGTGTCCTATGATCCACCAATCTGACCGAGCAGGGGCCCTTCCAGTTCATGACAAAATCACGCAATAAAACAGTTGATTCAACCATTGTCCGTGAATTCTATTTTTTCTCCCCAAGTTTCCCTAGTTCTTTTTTATTATATAAAAAAAAACGCCAGCATTTGGAGAAAACACCATTGGGAAGTCCGAATCGTTCCCCCTTAGCTTTATCCCGAACTCGCCCCAACCTTGTCGAGCATCCTTGGACAATCCCAGCTCCATTCTCGCAAGCCCAAGTAGAATCCTCGACTCGAGTGCAATTACACCACCCTTGATACTTTTTTCCAGCTCAAAGTCAGCGTATGTAAACCCCATCACAATCTGGCAGATAAGTCAGCGAAACATTATTAGGTGATTTAATGCAAACAAAACATACTGTGGTCATCACAAACACCCCAACCATGAACTTCATCCAGTTGTGTTGTCTTTTGAATCCTGCGTCGGCAATCACAACAAGATAGGCGAAGTCGTCAGCACAGTTCCGGGTTAATACCACTTTGACAGTTGTGAGTCTCCCGTTAAGAGAATCAATCTTTTTCGCCATGGTCCGGTTGTGGGTCTCCGTCTCGGTCTCTGTTTTCTGTTTGTTCGCCACTTGGTGAGGCGCATACGAGCACGGTCGAGAGGACCCCATGATCGAATGCTCGAGCAAAGTGGTAGGCCCTGAGCGAGTGATCGGGTATAGTCGATTGTGAATGATTTTGCTCCAACACAATTGCTTTCATATGGGAATGACGAAAGCGAGGATATTTTGATAAAGCGAATTTCATAGGGAAGTGTGTCGAAGAACTAACAATGGAGGGTCTTGTTGAGAATACGTTATTGAGTGTGCGGGGTAGATAGCGTTCATAATAACAGATGATATCACATGGTTATCATGACATATTCATATAGATAGAGTGATCGATCATGGTCGAGGATACTCGAGTATGATCTCCACCACGTCTCCAGGGCTGCACCAAACATTCCAATTAGTATACCCCCGCCGCCGAGTTGGTGCTAGACACTTTCTATGGGAATTGCCACCTAAAGTGTCCAACCTCAACTCGGCCGCAAGAGTACTTAGGTGTGAAATTCTAGATATAACAGGCCTAGTGTATTATGATCTCAAACCGACAATAGCTGTGCGTGGACCTGGTTGGATAACACCAACCCGATGGAGACCCATCAGTGGATGCCAGATCGGCACACCAGATAAATTCATGATGTTGAACATCGTAAATCGATTTCCACGGACAGCAGCCAACCCAGCTCTAAGGAAAAGCATCCTGATTGCCCTGTAGCACTTTGGCGTATCCTAATCTTGGTGGTCCTTTGTAGTTGTCAAAGTTTAAGTCAAAATGTCCGAACGCAACCAATACAACTGTCAAAGTCCAACATTTTCGCCAAGGAACCCCCCCATGTCGCATCGATACTTGCGGGATTCTAGGGCATTGGAAGGCCTTTCTAAAGGCCTAGTGGTATGGGGAGGAGGAAAAAAAAGGTCTGGTAAGTGGCAAGTGTCCAGACTTCGCCGCCCAAGTTTCTCATGGGATGTGAAATTCGTGATAACACAGGTATTCGACTCTGCTCGTCCTACCACGGACGAGGAGTCGCCCAGCCCAGTGAGCACGTAGGCTACCGGCTCGACGGAATCAACAAAAGTATATATGTCAGGTCATCACCCGTCCAACACCAAGCAAGTATGAGAATACGGGAACGCAGAAGTGCTGAAACACAGAACTGTTCTTCGAGAGCGGGAACACAAACCCGTTGAAATGGTAATGATCGAAACGGAGGTTTTTGCGGAGTGAGGCGAATCGGGAGGAGAGAGGAGTTGAATATAGGAAGTACGATACACAAGGCGTGGTGAGGTCAAGCCAGACGGGATTCAAAGTGAAAGGAGGCGAGGTGCAAAGTGAGTAGTGTGAGTGAAAGTTGGGGACGTGAGTGAAAGTGTGTTGTTGAGCGGTGGACGCAGCGAGCATCGAAGGGAAAGAAAGGGCTTCTACTCGTGCCCGGGCTGTGATGCCCAGTCACAACCTTGACATGAGTAGTCCGAAATCTGTTTGAAAAGCGGAGACGGCGGTGTCAGGGATCCAGTGTTTTCGGGATGTTTGTCTAGAGTGAAACTAAAGTGAGTGGAAATAGGAGTTTTGGCAGCAAGAAGAAGGCGGAGGTAGCCTTAGCTGCGGTGGAATAGGAGGGAAGAGGTGGAGAGATGAGAGTCACAGTTATTCAAAGGATATTGGTTGTTTGGTTCAAAGATGAAGAGATGATCATTTCCTCTAAGGTCTGAGAAAGAAAAAGGAGAAGTTCCTTCCTCCGAAAGCACGAGAATCCACGATGGCGCGAAGAGAGTCCCGGGAAATAAGATAGGCTGTGGTTCCCGCTGTACCTCCGAGATTTTTGGGTGCTGTTATGCGCGGTGGTTTAGGACATACCGCGTTCCTTGCGAAGAGTACACTCTCTCGCTGCTTAGTTTTGGGGGTATGTATCATAACTAGTAGGCTCGTATGCGTGTAGACTGTTCCTAGGCGAACGCTGGTTCGGTACTGCGCTGCCTCTAGAGATTATACGCTCCCCCTCACCGAGGATACTTCGGAAGGCTATCGACCACGTGTAACTCCTGCACGACCACCGGATCTTGAGTGCTTTGCTGGGGGGCTTGATATGGTTGGTTGGTTTGTACCTTGAGTTCTGGTCTGGAATATGCCGTACATTCCTTGTTGCTTTGAAGAATGGTTGGGTATGCCGGCTCCTAAAGGTTGCGGGTTTGCGGTGTCAGTGGGTAGATGGATGGCCCATTCGGATAACGATCGGTAGCCATGTAAGGAGTCTAAGCGAGTGAGAGATTATGATTAACTGGAATTTTAGAGAATTCGACAATGAGTGAGATGTGGGTGGGATATTTGGACACGTGGGAGGTGCTTGTCCTAGACCTGAACACTTTTTGCAGTTCGAGAGGTGTAAAGTCATCTCTACCAGGCGATATTGCAGAATCTTCGGGCAGAAGCATGATATTCACCTAACCTCCGGCTCTACCCTCCAGGAAACCGCTATACAAGACAAAAAAGGAATACATATACTAAATATACACCTCCCATCACACCAATTTCCTCAAAAAAGTGAAAAAAACCCCGCCTACCTCATCATAATCTCCCCTTGTACCGCACCATCGTCCAACCCAATAGCCTCCATAACATTCCTCCACCTAACACCACCCTTCTCCTTCCTCTTCAAATACTTCAAAAGCTTCTGCCTCCTATGCACTAGCAGAGCCAAATTTCTCTTATTGTGCTTATCCGTGAGGCCCTTCAATTCCAAATGCCTCACTAGGTTCCTAATCTTCACCGTCAAGATAGCAACCTGAACCTCACTGCTCCCTGTATCTGGTCCAGCTCTGGGAGTTTTACCCGACTTGGCCGGATCCGGTGCGCCCGGGTCCCGTGAGAGCGTCCTATCCGTGACGTGCCTGCCAAATAAATCTATACACCTTGCCTTCTGGACCCTCATTTTATCGCTCCTGGAGCCAATACTCAAGCTCACGATTCGCTGGATCGCAGCGGCAGCACGGTTGTGCGCTTCCTCGTGCGCTCTGACGAGGGCCTCTTCCTTCTGGTTATCGACGAACTTGGCGGATCCTGACTCTGTTACCCCGTCGATATGCGGCTCTGTGAGGCGGCGGGAGCGTTCAAGTGCTTCGGCGATGTCTCTGGGTGTGAGGTAGTGGTTTAGGTGTATTTGTTTCCTATGCCCAGCGAGGGGGTCGACGTAGTTTGCACGTGCCCAGTCCACGGGGGGCAAGGGTGGGGGCTGCACATCGAAGGACTCGACGAATTCGGTATTCGTGCCCAGGACCGGGTCGATGCGGGAGGATAGGCGTTCCTTCTTTCGCTCCTTACGCTTCTCTAAGTTTTCTATGCGTTTTTTTTCGGACTTGGCCCATTTCACAAGATCATTGGGTCGCGGGTTGGCGGTTTTTTTGAGTGCTATGGGAGTGGTGGAGAAATGGAGTCTTGCTGTTGGTTTCAAGATGTGACATCAGTGGGGGGCGAGAGGGAACTGAGGGAGATGGGGGATAGGGTGGGGCGTACGGGCTGAAGATATCCGGAGGGAGGAGAGACAGGATGACAATCTTATAGCTGGTATGCGGGAAGGCATGGCGGCAGTGGGGGAGCAGTGGAGGAGTTGTGCTCGGAGGTGCGTTTGATGGAGGGATGGATGAATGGTCTTTTCCACTAGTTACACCCTTCTAACTCGAGAATCGCAGTAGGGG